GCTAATCTCTAAAGTGACAGCAATAAATCCCAGTGGCTTTCTATGGAAATGTCACAGAACCTCTCCTAATTTTACACATGTCTGCAATAAGCAGAGTTTTTGATGTCTGCTCAATGCAAATGCCTGCTGAGAATGAGAAAACAATGGCTCATTTGCCATAGTGTCTGCGATGAAGGCTTGAGTCTCAAACCCATAATTAACAAGGCTTGAGTCTCAAACCCATAATTAACAACAGAAGCAAAATCTCATTGATTTCGATGAAACAGTCATTTGCAATTTCAGGTGAAAACAAGATTTGCGTGGGTAGTTTCCGCTAGTTGTGCTATTATTGCAGGTGCAACTGCCTCTCCTTTTCTTGTAGGATATAGATGAAGAGTACAGTATTTTATTCTGCAAAGCTATATATAATAATACTGAGGCACAGTCAAAGGCAATTTTTAAAATAAGTGTTTTTAGCTTATTAATAACCATAGCACAGTCTCAATAGCAAGACACTTTACAGATATGCACAAGAGAAGTACAACTTACAAACATTTTTTCAAATCTTAATGGTATATCATTCACCTCAATGGTATCTTTTTAGTATTCTCTAAGTAGCAGCAATAATAATATGTAACATTGCTATCTTTGCCCACAGATTATATCACTCTTCATTCATATTGCCACCTACGAGCACTGTTTTCTTTTTCTTTCTTAAGCAATTAGCAATAAAAATGAGAAAACACAAGGAAAAATAACAGCATTTCTTTTTCAAAAAGTCTGCTTCATAAAGTGTATACATAGAAAATGTAATCGTGCCCCCTTTAATTACTGTCTCTTTAGTTATCTGACCAAAGCTAGGTATTACTTTTCTTACATTTAAAAATACATTGTATACTGTATTTTAAAATAATTTAAAATATGCACTTAAAATCATTTTAGACAGTTTAAAATAAGATATGGATTATTCATTGAAACTACACCTGAAGTTGTGCAACGAGTCCAAAGTCTGAAGAGACAGTAAAGGAGAACCTCCTCAAAGAAAAACTTGCTGACCAAGGAGTTCCTTGAAAACCTTATAATTAAGCACGTAAGGTCTTGATCATAGAATGTGGTTACATAGTGCTCATTAAGTGCTATGTGTAGATATTTGTTGTTGTTACGTGCTGTCAAATTGCCTCCAACTCATGGTGACCCTATGAATGAGCAATCTCCAAAATGTCCCATCTTCAACAACCCTGCTCAACTCTTGTAAACTTGAACCTGTGGCTTCCTTTAGGAAATCAATCCATCTGGTATTTGGTCTTCCTCTTTCCTTACAGCCTTCAGCCTTTCCCAGCAGGGGAGTTTTTCCTGTTGCAATTCATGCAGTCACTACATTGTTGTGAGCTGGTAGCAATAAAGGCAGTGGGAAGAAGTTGCAAAGCTGGAAAATACTGGCTTCCAGTAATTAATTCCTTTTTTTTTTTAGTGCTCAGCTTTTATTAGCATGACACTACAAAAAGAATTTCAGAGTATGGACTTTATATTGCCCATGAGTCTAAAATTGTTTTGTAGCCACAAAGGGGATTAGTAGAATTTTTTAAAAAACTATTCATTTTTACAGCAGAATATTCTTTAAATTCTGCCTCCTTATTCTGTCTTTATCCTTTGGGATTTTATTTTAAAGGAAAGGGATTAATAAAGCAAAGCATGCTGCTTATATGCCCACTCCATAGCACTCTCTGGGCAGTTTACAAGTTAATTGTGCAGGCTACACATTGCACACACACACACCCAGCAAGCTGGGGACTCATTTTACTGACCAGAGAAGAATGGAAGGATGAGTGAATCTTGAGGTAGCTACATGGGATTCAACCCTGGGTCCTGAGCACAGGTTTGGCTTCAGTACAACAGTTTAAGCACTTTCTTTCTGTTAGCGCATAAAGCTGACGTCTTTGGCGCAGAGTCTTATCCAGTCCAAGCAGTCCAAATAACTCACACGTACACAGGCAGCTTCTCCCAACACCGAAGTATATTTACAACATATACAGCAATTCCACTGGCAGCATGACATCAAGCAATGGATCAGTTGTGGAGATACATCATCAGTTCAGCTTCACATATATATACTTATACATATTAGCATATAACTAATCATAGCAGATGTTGCATCATCTATGATTTGGCATATGTTGCATCGTCCATGACTCAGCATTACTCAGCATTCTTGCACACCTGTACAATCATGGATGCTCATTAATACAAACTTTGTTCTGCCAGGATACTGTAGGAAATTATTCTTGACACTTTCTTTGGCTTCTGAAGGTTTAAAAGTATTCTTCCTTTTTCAGTTATTTGCAAACAAACAGTAAACATTTAATCATCTGCTTAATGTGGCACTTTCAGACATCAACAGAAATGTCATAGAATCATAGTATAATGGAGTAGGAAGGGATCCATAAGGCCATTCATTATGGATTGCAGGAATCCAAACCAAAGCAAGTCTGACAGATGGCTGTCTAATTTTCTCTTGAATGCCTCCAGCTTTGCAGTGCTCTACCTTCTGAGGTAATTGGTTCTGTTGTCATAGTGCTTGATCAGTTAAGGTTTTTCTTGATATTCAGCTGAAACCTGGCTTCCTGCAACTTGAGCTTATTATTATGTGTCCTGCAGTCTGGGATGATTGAGAACAGATCCTGCCTCTCCTCTGTATGACTGCCTTTCAAATACAGGTATTTGAAATGTACTAGCATATCTTCCCTCAGTCGTCTTTGTATTGCAAACAGAAATCCACGCTCCAGGCTGCGAAGTATAAAGGTACTGATATTTATATACATGATGAACATTTATAGCAGCAGATACCTTTATGCCACTACAACAACATGAATATCAGTGTATATCAATAGATATGAAATGATATGACAGCAGATCAGGTTTATTTTAGGGGGAAGTATTTCACTGCAAAGTAGGGATGGAGAAAGTGTGGCCAGATAACAAATCCCATCATCCCATCAGATCTGGCTGTGCTGGTGAGGACTGATGGAGCAATCCAGTAGCTCCTTAGAGAGCCAACCACTCACTAACCCTGCTGTAAAATTAACAGTATCAAAAATGACACTGATCTTGGGGAAACAGCGGAAATGGACATTTTATCAGAAGTGATGAAGGACTTCGTATGAAGAGCATACAGTGAAATGAGAACTTAAATCTGGAAGGCAGAAAATAGTAAAAAGAGCAATTTGGAATTTTGATATGGCAATATGTATAGAATGGCTGTTAGTGTGTCATTGTTTCTCCCTTTCCCCCTTAACTTCAGTTCCCTTTTTCCTTTCTGTCACCCCTTGTTAAAAACAAGTTTTTTTAAAAATGACACTGCTCTTTGGAGCTTTAGCACTGAAGCATCTTCATTACAACAAAGCTGTCTTCAGCTGTTCTGTTATATGGTTTAACTAAACACGTGAGGAGAGGAATACATTAGCCATGTCCCTATCGGTCTTTGCTGCCCACTCTCTGTGAAGGTTCTCCGTGGGATGTGAAATCCTGGAAAATCAGGATTTCTACATGCATAGCAGAGGCTTTTCTCTTCAAAAAGCATGGGGCTAATGTGCACCCGGCTCATGTGTTTATTTGAACTGGACAACAAAATATTTGAATGTAACTTTACTTATTCAACTATGTTATGCTGAGGACCTATAGCATTTGGCGGTGGCCCTGCTATGACTGATGAAATTCAAGACACACTGCGAACTGGAAGGATAAACCTGGAGAACTGTCCCAGCCCATCGGTGGAGTATTCCAATGATGCAGCTGTTCTGGTGGAAAAGAAAGGCTGGGAGAACAGCCAATATATAGCAAAGTCACAAGTGGAATGTGGGTAGCACAGGGGAGGAGAACACTTAAGGTTTAGGGTGACTTAGGACTATTATTTACAGTTGCCCTCGCATTGATATCGCTCCAAACCACATTGCCATGTAAAATCACATTATACGGTGCGACTCAGAGCTAGAGTGTAAAAAAGTTACCTTGTTTAAAAGAACTTCAATTCTCAGCCAGCACACCCATTAGACAATACTGCCTCTGGAATTCTGGGAATGGCAGTCAAAAAAGTAGCTTCTATAAGCTCTCATCAGAGTTTAATCACAGCATACCACTACAAGCCATGTATAAACCCCCTGCCCCCCCCCCGGGAGACCAAAATTTAGACGACATGGAGTTATATGTCTGGTCTTAATCCCCACCGTCTCTCTAGCTGAAGAATATTTGTCCCAGTTTCTCCTTCTAAATTTCCTAATTGTTCTGCCATACACAGATAGTGGAGGGATAGTGGGGTGGGGAGACAAATACCACGTGTGTTTTGCTTCCTGTTTAAACCCTTTTTCAGATGGCCATTTCTCCACGGGAGTCAATAGTTCTTATCTAGTATACTGTGACCACTCATTTATGAACATGCCTTAGTTCAGTAAACCGTCTACCTACTCCTTCCGCCCACCAGAAATGATACCTTTCAGTCAGCAAGCTCTCTTGTTCTCAGTTCACAGTAATTCACAGAACGAATGTAAATCTTCCACAAGGATGTCTGTATGCTCATATTACTGCCATGCATTTCTGGTCCACTGAGGTTTCTCCAGTGTAAATCCTGTGCCTAATTTTTTACCTTTCCCCTCAATCTCACATTGATTCACTTTCCAACTGCACAGTTTCACCTCAGCCCACTCCCTACTGCACACTTGCCGTTCAACTGCACATAAAAACGAAACAAAAACAGCACATAAACTGTTCACTCATAGCCATAACAATCTGTTACACAGCTGTATAAAGCACAAAATACCTAGTTTCAAAGCTGCGTCTTAAAATATTCTTCCCTGTTGTTTAAACATCTGCTGTAATCCTAATCTTGAATTCTCTGGGCAACTCATAAAACCAAGGGAGGTAAATCAGAGCTTCATTAGAGTAGGTAAAATGTAAGACAAGTTATGTGTACACATCAAGATAAACTTTCATGTGTAGTCAAATATCTTCTTGTTGTCTTTTCCAAACAGGGGGTTATAACATTAATGATGTCATGTTTTACTGGACAAGAGGAAATGATTCTGTTAAAGGCTTGGATACTCTTCGGCTGGCACAGTATACAGTAGAAGACTACTATACCTCTGTCTCTGAAGCTGTCTATGAAACAGGTAAAAACATAAAGCTCTATCAAAATGCTCTTCTGTTTTTTGCCTGGGATGGGCAAAGCACAGCCTGTGTTCCCCAGGACCTCAAATGCAGCTTGTAATACCATGAAGGGTTCCCAATCATCCTGTTTCAAATTTCTTAATCATCCTGAAAAAGTCCCCTTGTGCCCTCTAGGAAGTGTGGGAAACCATCCTCTCTCTCTCTCTCTCTCTCTCTGAACATCAGAATTATGGAGATTCTTTTTCTCTCTCCCTATCCTCTCAATTATTTCATCATGCGTCATTGTCTAAAAGGTACACAATACAGTAAGCAAGCTCTGTAGCCAGATGGCAGGCTGCCTGAAAATCCGAAGTGTAAGACCTTGAGTTTGTGGAAGAAAGTCAGGATATAGATAAATGATCCAGTAAGAGGGATTAGATGAACTACACAGTGTCCCTGCCCTCCAAAAAATTGCCTGACAAGTACATGTTGTATGCTGTGAGTAACTGTAGTGCATTTCAAGTTTGTCGTAAAATTCAGAAATTACCTGGATTGTGAATGTGCACATTTGTGCTACCAAACAGTTAACACTGACAAAGGATATTTCTTTCTTGCAAGGTTTCTAAACCCATTTATGTTAGTAATATGTTCTTTTATTATTATTCAAACAGAACCAATACAAACTCTCAAGGCCAAAAATATCCATATAATACGAAATACACTCTAATTGATCAAGAATAAAATCAATTAAGGCTTTGAAACAACAAAAGACCAATTTGGAGGTCATCAGTTTAACACATAATGGAACAATCAGTAGTTGATTTTTTTTTCCAAATCTATATTTTCAAGAGCAAGTAAGTACTTTTACGTAGGAGAAATGTCCCATCCCTTCTAGGAGAGGGTTCTCCTTTGATGAGTACATCATTTTTCAGCTTCCCCGGCTTCCAAAGCCGCCCCGACTGCCGCGCTGGGTGCTGGTACTTTGGAAGCCCAGGAAGCCTCCGCAGCAATGCCGTGCTGGGTGCTGGTACTTTGGAAGATGAGGAAGCCTCCGCAGCAATTTTTTGGATTTGTTTTGTTTTTTGCAGCCCCAGGGGCTTGCAGTATTTTATTTTTATTTTTTGGTGATTTTTTTCCTTTGGCTGGAACGGATTAATCATTTTCAATGCATTCCTATGGAAAATGGTGCTTCGACTTATGAAATTTTTGAGTTACAGTACAGCCACCGTTCCAGTACGGATTGATTTCGTAAGTCGAGGCACCACTGTATTGAAGTGTGCACTGAGTGACAGGAAGATGGGATTGGATTAATCAGGGGACAAGTTGCACATTCAGAGTATAGTCCTGATTTATGGGTATAAAAGACTGAGTGAGCCTTAGGGTAATGAGGTGTCTCTCCCCTTTTGTCCCCCAAGACAGCTGCAAGGAGAGGATCAGAAGCTTCCGAGTACAAGCTTTTGTGTAGTTTGTGATTACATTTGGAAGTGACAGATTAGAGGTAGTTTAAACTTGGGAGGAGGTAACCCTCTCAGTATTGTTAGTGACAGTTCCCTTACTGGCTAGTGCTGATGGAGGTTTGCAGTCCAGTAATTGGTTGATGGACATCCATTTTTTCTCAACCCAGGTTTATGCTACAATTTATTAGGATGATGCAAGAACAAACTGTGGTTTCTGATCCTGGCTTGTTCCAATTAACTTTTGCTAAGCTAACCTGCATTCCTGGCTGAGATAACAAACTGCTTTCAGTGTAAGATAAGATATTGCTAAGTGTCACTGCTCACATGACATTTTGTCATCCAACCACACAGATACTGCAGCCCTATTAGAGGGTGAGCGAGCATGCACATAGTATTTAAAAGACAGCTAATTTTAAAACTGTGTGTAATAATAAAAAGACACAGTAAAGCAGTCATATGCACAGCAATCAGCATCAAAATTCGTATTTTAGTTTTTTTGGTTCAGTTGTTAAAAGCTAGGTTAAAAAGAAGCATCTTTCCCTGCCAGGAAGATAGCAAGAAAGGGGTCATTCTGGCCTTCCTTGGGAGGGCATTGCATAAACTGGGAGTAGCCATTGACAAGGCCTTCTTTCACTTCCTTGCCAAGTCTCTTCAGCTTTGCCCAACAGGGAGAGATTATTTAAACCCCCTCCTTCATCCAGCTAGGTCTCTGAAACACAAACTAGGTCATTACGTCCATCCAGGATCCAGTCTCTAGATGTTGTCTTGTCTTTCACTGACCTGGCATTTAACTGCAGCATTTTCTACTGAGGGGACTTGCCCCCAAGGCTATCCAGGCTATTTAACCAGGGAGACCCTTTGAGGCAATAAACAGCCTGGATTTCTCCTCTGCCCTGGATAACATAGTTGTCTCTGTGCTTTTTATCTCCCTCCTGCCACCTGTTGTTCCAGTAGTATTGCAGCTGAAAGCAATCTTGCCTACATGGTCCTAGAAGCCAACAGGGTCAGGCAGCTAAGCAGACAAATAAATTTGGTCCTCCCCTCTCATAGGCTGCAACTATACCGGCAAGCCAATTCATCTTTGCTGCAGGACTATTTTACCCTTCTTTTCAGATTAGGTGATCACACTGAGACTTCAGATTGTTTCAGGGCCACTCAGTATGATGGGATTTGATCTGCGTTACATCTCACAGCCCTTCTTCCTTTGATCTCGCCCTCTGATGATTCCTGGATTTACTTTTATAGTTCATATTAAAGTCGGTGGACTGTTTAAATTTTTGCACAGTGCTAGAGGAAAGGGCCAGTTTAATGTGCGAACAAATACACACAAAGCACTGAAACAATACTGTAGTCTGCTGCATTTCATCAGGGTTGTTTCTATTTCATATTGATTTTTATCTTTTTTTTTTTTTGGTCTGTGCTGAGATGAGCTAGTGCTAAAGTAGTTTATCAGTGTAGTGACAAGGTGATCTAGTACTAAACCCGTAGCTTGTTTTGGAAAAAATATATAAAAAAAACTTCAGGATGACTGCGGAGAAAGATTGAGGGCTGTGTGTTCCCACTGTCTAAAACAGGGGTCTCAAACATGCGGCCCGAGGGCCATTTGTGGGCCCCCCAGATGATAGTTTGTGGCCCTCCCCTTGCCTGCCCCCCCCCCCAAAGCGCCCACACATCCTCTGCTGTCAAGAGTAAAAAAAAGCCTTGCCTCGCTCGCCGGCTCTCTCCCAAGACAGCACCTCTTGCACCCTCCATCCAGAACTGCCACCTGCCAGCCGGCCCACCTGTCTGTCAGCTAAGGAAACTCCTGGGCAGCTTCCTCGGGCTCTTGCTCCGCTTGGCGGAAGATCTGATGCGGCCCAGCCTCACCCAGACTCTGCCTCTAGCGGCCCCCAGGTAAATTGAGTTTAAAACCCCTGGTCTAAAACATCGCACCCTGCTTAGTATGGCATCAGACTGGGACCTACCATGAGCCCCCCCCCATCCTATAGGGCAGTGGTTCCCAACCTTGGGTCCCCAGATGTTCTCTGACTGTAGCTCTCAGAAATCCTGACCAGTACATCTAGTGGTAAAGGCTTCTGGGAGTTTTAGTCCAAGAACATATGGGGAGCCAAGATGTTGAGAACCACTGCTTTAGGAGAACAAAACAACTGCTCACACAGGGAAAAGTTTGTTTGGCTTGTTTCAGGTTGAAAAAAGTAGACACTCCTAGCAGTAGAGAAAAAACCTTCTGTGTCAGGATCAAAAAAGGACTGGGCTGATTTGAATTGGCCTTTGCGTCAAATGATTGAAAAAATGTGAATTCCTCTGTTTTACACCAGCAGCAAATTGCATGGTATCTGACGATGTAGTTGCAGCCTTAGTTAGGGGTTCTGGTCCTCGGCCTCATGTCCTCTCTAAGTGGCAAAGAAGTAATAAAAGTTGATAGAATGGAAGCATGAGCCCAGGGTCTACAAAACAACTGGCTCACAATACATGAAGGACCTGAACCTTTATAGAGTTGATGTTTCACTAGACCAAAGTTGTTCAGAAAAAGCAGAGGCAGTAAGCAAGCAAATCACTAGATGTCCCCCAGCAGATGTACTCTTTTGCCCTGGCAGATGTTAAGTGGAATTTCCATAGTGTGGACATTGCACATATTTAACATTAAGAAAAAAATAGATACATTATAAAATTAAAAAGTAAAAATGTGAAAGTCACTATACAATCCTCAGGATTCTATGTGAAAAACTGAACTCGGTACACCCAGCAAGGGGCTAAATCCAATTGGTAGTTCCACCTACAGCAAACCCACTGAATCAGTGGGGCTTGTATTATATATGTTGACTTACTAAAGACCCATTGATTCTGCTCTAGCAGTTGGATATGTAGAACAGCAGGACAAACAGCAAGGAAACTGGGGCAGTGGTAATAGCAACCTATCATTCTCACAGCATCCAACATTACAGGTGAGAGGTTAACAGACTGACAAGCAATTTAAATAGTCTTTTGAATCCCCAGTCTTTGATCTGTTGATAAGGTGTGTCAGATTCATGGGCATCAGGAATGGGACCTCTGTGACAGAAGCCTCCATTTGTGGAATTTGCTCACTTAGGAGAAAATAAAAGTTCCACTCATTCCTGGTCTCTAAATGAATTATCTGGTCATTTTTATTTCAATGCACATTTGACTCATTGCTTTACTCTTCATCAATTATTACTACTGCAGATTTTTCAGGTCTGTTACGAATTTTAAGTTGATGCTTTTATATGCTTAGATGTTTTGTTATGGAATCTTCTTTACACAGCCTTTTGAGAGCAGTTTACACTGAAAGGCAGTTTTGATTTTTTTAAAAAAGTAAATATAACAAATAGTTGCATAAGATAGGTGAGAACTGGCCAGAAAGTAGCATGAAGAGGAGGAAAAAACCACCCAGGGACAAATGTCACAAAAATAGGATAATGCATTGCTGAGACTGCACTGTGTACTAGGTATGGCTGGCAGGTTGTTCCGAATTGCATATCACAGCGTGTTGGAGGAATCCGAAGAGGACATAGCACTGTAGGCATGTGACTTCTTCGTCACAACTCTGGAGATGCCAGTGGGTCTTCTAAAGGGCAGAGGAACTGTCACATACACTTAACACTCTACAGGGTTCTTTTCCCAATCCCCCCCCTCCTTCCACTGCCTTTCTGGACACTACAAACATTTTATCTTCTGCACAAGACCTCAGGAGAAGCGCCTTCTACATAAGAATTTGTGATGGTGCTGTTTAATTTCTGCTTCCTGATTCATGAACTCACTTGTATGTTTCTAATTTCAAAGGACGCAAAGACGTTTTCCTTGCTTTCTTTGCAAAGGGAGATACTGGACAGAATCATATTGATCAGTTATGTTGGTGTAATTGCAGTGACATAACCACATGCAGCAAAGGGCCATTTGTTAACTTGTGCTCTCCTGCCTCCCTTCTCATGCAACATGCATGTCTGGTTTACAGTGAGAGATACAACCGACAAGTTGACCAACTAGTGGCAATGCACTGCAGCCGTTTACTACCATTGTATTTATGCCAGCCTAACTGACCAATTGGATTCTGGTCAGCATGGCAGATGTCTTGAAATACTGCTTGGAGGTACATTATACAGCTACAGCAGTTTCCCTTGTAAATAATCTTGGAATTTGCTGTTTGATTAGGTACTTAGTATTCTCTTCTTGGGGGCTGTTACATACAGCACTGATGCTACCTGTGTCTTGGAATTTGCTGTTTGACTGGGTACTCAGTATTCTCTTCTTGGGGGCCTCTTGTAAAACCCTTTGAAATGCAGTAGAGAATTTTAATTACCTCATCAAATGAAAAAAAAAATCCCAGAATTCTATAGAATGGATATGTACGAGATAGGTCTCTCTTAAAATACTAAGCACTTATAAATAGGCAAAAAGTACAGGTTTACATTGGCAGATTTTGTGATCAGAAAGTCCCTTGCTTCTTATGTAACTAACATCTGCTTGGTTTCCTCGTTGCCTCTGCCTTTAGCTAGCCCTCATGTTCAGAAGGCTAATGTCCTCTACTGCCGTTCACCCGCAGAAAAATCAGAACCTGATCACCCATCAAAAAAATTAAATACATGTTTGCGTTTCCATGTTTCAAGGAGAAAAGATATAAATAACTCTGGAGGAGCACACTGTTCTCATTTAAACTGAATAATATTCACTAATAATAAATGAAAGAGCATAAAAATATAAGGATGTATAAAAATAAAATCCTCTCAGTTTTCATTTCATTGCTTCATGTACTATGACATGTTTCACTAATTCATTTAAACCCAGTTGCTTCGTTTGTGTCCCTGATTTGCGGAACAGGGAAAGGTTTTCTTCATTTTTTTATTTTTGTTTTTCCCCCAGCTGTTCTGTTTCTCTATTGTTTTTGTAGTATTTATTGTAGTTTACAGTGCTTTATTTGTCAAGCACTTAGAGACCAAGAGGATACAGTGATGAATAATTATGGGAGCAGGAGAAAATGGCCAAACTGACTTGCTGACTGACACTAACTGAATAATTGTAAATGCCCCATTGAATTATTCATATGCAAAATTTATGCAATGGTACATTCATAATTTACTGTGTAAAAATATTTAGATCTTGAAGAAAAAAATGTTGGCTATGTTCCGGTAATTGGGTTGTTGAACTTTCCTTTTATTTTTATTTTTTTTAACATAGGACGTTATCCAAAGTTAGTGTTCCACTTTGAGCTGAAGAGGAACATTCTGTATTTTATCCTTGAGACCTATGTGCCATCCAGTTTACTGGTTGTTCTCTCCTGGGTTTCATTCTGGATAAGCCAGTCATCAGTTCCTGCTAGAATCTGCATAGGTGAGAAATAAAAATGAAAATAAAACATTGTGTATACATGAGTTTGCACAAATGTATTCAAGTGCATCTTATGTTTGTTTATTTATAGCTTTTTATATTGCTCATTAAGGATAAATTCTGAGGGTGGTGAACGGAAACAAACAATTAAAACTGTAAAGTATGGAATAATATAAAATGATATATTCTCTGATATATTCTCCCTATGTGTTAGTACTTTTTTGTACTTTGGGTACTGCCACTGTTAGTTCTACTTCTGATGTCGTTTTATTTTGTTTTAAACATATATGTTCATGTTTAAAACAAAATAAAACGACATCAGAAGTAGAACTAACAGTGGCAGTACCCAAAGTACAAAAAAGTACTAACACACAGGGAGAATGTATCAGAGAGTCGTTTGCATAGGGGTAAAGGAGTCTCTGAGGAGGTTTTCCAAATTCAGGATGCTACCACTGAGAAGTCCCTGTCACCATCTGCCTCACCTCATTTGTCAGGGGCATCTATCATAAAGCCTGTGAAGATGATGCTGAGGATATCATCCTTTAGATAATGTGGCCCCAAACCATTTAGGGCTTTAAAGAGAAAATATCATTTTAAATTGGGTCTGTCAGCAGACTGGAACTAATGCAGAGACTTAACATGGTCATACTGGCCAGTTTATACACAATCTAAAACTATGTGAAAAGTATCAGTGATTAAAATTATGAAGAAAAATAGGGGGAGAAACTGGTTTACAGTAATGATGGATGTAAACAAGCAATACTATTTAATTAATATTGAATCTCTAGGCTTTCATGTACAGTAACTAGATGTTTGTATGAAATACAGCCAATACAGAAGGGACATGTTTCATTTTATCTGATTTTACTTGCCTTTATCAGAATTGGGCCAAAATGTTAATGTTGTTGGAAAACACTACTAATTGAACTGGGGCTTTTAATAAGAAAAGCATATACTCACCCTCAGTGTGGTGGCTAATATGAAAATAAATCACATCTGACTCATAAATCTAGAAATGCTTCTTCTTGTAATTGTCTCCACAGATAGTGAAAGCTTGTAGTACTTTCTGTTACATGCTGTCCAAAAAGTAGATAGTCTGGCAGATAACTAACCAGACAGAGCTCCAAAATCTTACAGTTATTACCCCATCAAAAGCACATTGAAAAAGTTACACATATTTTCAGCCTTTCCAAAATGACATGTGTGATGAAACATGAAACAATCGGGGAAATAGCTACAAGCCCCCAAAAAAGAACAAACCTTGTTCTTTGTGTTCCCTAACATATCTGTGTTTTATTTGTATTAACAGTTTGCACTTCCCCCCAAATTACCTAGTGATGAGTTAGATGAGTTTCTGAGAGATGAGCTGAGAGAGCAATTCCGACGTTTCATCTCCACTTTTTTCATCCCTCTTTTTTCCTCTTCATCTTTTCAACCATGGAAAAAAACTATTTTCCCCGAACCTGACAAAACTGGACTTCACTTCTTGTGCCCCAAGTACTTCGAATTATAAACCGCCATAAACAAAAGGAAGATGGGTGGACATGGGATTATGGAAGAACTCAAAAATAAAGAAATGCAGAGGAACTGGTATCCAAAGGCAGAGCAGGAGGCACAGGGCTGGCCTAGTAAAACATCCAGCTCAAGTATAAGATCCGGAGGATTGGGAGTGGGATTCAACTCCAGCCAGTCCAGTTGGTTCTGTGTGTGGAAAAAAGAGTGCTATCAAGGCCTGTGCCTCTGGCAGCAAAATGTCTTGGAGCACCCCTGTGGAAATGGCATTATGTTAATCTTTCAAGAATACCTGTTTTCTTCCCTGTCTTCTTTTATTGTTGTAGGAGTTACCACAGTGCTTACTATGACAACACTTATGATGGGAGCCAGGACATCCCTTCCTAATGCTAATTGCTTCATCAAAGCAATTGATGTTTACCTGGGGATCTGCTTTAGTTTTATCTTTGGCGCGTTACTGGAGTATGCGGTGGCTCATTTTTGTACCCTTAATCGGTCTGGTGTGAAAAAACTCACAAAGGTATTTGTTCTATTTTAATTCCTTCATCTTCTAATTCTCCTGGCCTTTCTTTTCAGCCCTTCTCTCCATTGCTTCCAATACTGTGAAGGCACATCCAATTCCAGCTTTGAGCTGCTTTTTACCATAACATTCCCTACCTCCTGTGGCACAATTTCTAAAATACTGTAATTGTGCAGGCTCAAGGCCAAACTAAGCATTGGTTACAACCCATCCCAGAAGATGGAATTCCTAAAATGTAGAGAATACATGATTGTTGCAGCCAAAGTTTTTCATACCTGCCTTAGTTTATGAATTGTCTTGCTGTTTTTTTGTGACTGGAAATCAGGAGGTAAGTACAGGCTTTGTTTGCAAACCTGATTGCTCAGTCACAAAGGATTGCCTGAATCATCTATTTAGAACCCTAATAGGCTGTGGCTTCTAAGGAGAAGTTATCACTAATGTGTCATTTGGTGCTGGAAAAAACAAAGCTTTGTGTTCCTTACACCAGTGGTCCCCAACCTTGGGCCTCCAGATTGAGAAGTTATCTCTAATATGTCATTTGGTGCTGGAAAAAAATAAAGCTTTGTGTTCCTTACACAATATAAAATCAAGGGCAGGTGATACCTTTATTAAACCACAATAATGATGATGATGATGATGATGATGATGATGATGATGATGATGACGACGATGATGATGACGATGATAAAGCTACCTTTCGACCTACTGTATACTTGTCTTCATCAGGTTGTGTGCCAATGTTTTGTGGATGATACAGAAGAAACATAAGAAAGTTCCAAAAGTCATACCAGATATTGGTGCCCGTTTCTTAAAAATGAGTTCCCAAATGAAGGCTGCAAAAACAAATCAGGATTGTAGGTTTCAGATTCTACCCTCATGGGCTTTGGTTGGACTATCTCTCCCAACTCACCAAATGAAGGGCTACCAGGTATTCAGTGTTTCCTGTTTGCTGTTGGCTTCTTTTGTACTCCAAGATTCCTGCTTACACAGAAATGTGGCAAACCCCCTATCAGAGAATTGGGAACAAGATTTCATCTGTTGCTTACAAGCACCACATTGTTTTTGGATGGCAAGGAACTGCAGCAGTGGCTGCAGGTGCTCTTGCACTGTTTGGAGTAGTTTGCCAGCTATGGATTTCCTGGAGGAAAGTGATCCGGCCCCTGTTAGGCATCCTTTTATTGTGTCCAGATTGGACAGTTGCAACATGCTCTGTGTGGGTTTGTGTGAGAAAAATGTTCTAAAACCACTTCTGCTGCTTTTTTGGAACTATTATTTATTTCTCTATTTAATTTTTATCCAGCCTGTCTCTCCTAGCGGAGAACCAGGTGGGCAAATTTAAACATTTAAAATCAACATTCAATTAAAACAAATTGGTTAAGCCTTAAAATGATAATATATACATATTTAAAACATCATACTAAAACTATAAATTTTAAATCTGAAAAGATCTCCCCGTCTCAGTTGCCTCCTGGCTTCCCCAAAGCCTATCTAAAGAGGTACATTTTCAGCTGATGGCAGAAGAAAAGGAGGGAAGGGGCCAACCAGACCTTCCAGGGGAGGGACTTCCATAATGTGAGAACAGCCTCTCTCAGGTCCTCAAAAGATGTGCTTGTGAGAATGGTGGAACTAGGACTGAGAGAAGGCACTCCCTGAGGCTCCTCATACACATAAGGCCTCATACAAGGAGTGGTGCCTCGCTTGATGACGTTAATCTGTCCCAACAAAATTGCTGTAGAGTGAAATCATCATCAAGCGGGGAAAAAACCCCATTGAAAAGCATGGAAAACCGCTCAATGTGTTCCAATGGGCTAAATGCCTAATCGTCCAGCGAAGATCCTCCATAGGGCGGCCATTTTCCGGTGCCTCTCTTGAGAAAAATCGATCCTAAAAACAGCGGGGAGCCATCTTGCACAGTGGGTGGCCATTTTGAGAGCCGCCGAGCAGCTGTTTTCAGACCATCGTTAAGCAAAAAATTGGTTCCCGAAGCAGGGAACTGATCATCGTCAAGCGAATTTTACCTCATCGTCAAGCAGATTCATCGTTTAGTGAGGTAATAATTAAGCGAGGCACCACTGTAGGATGTTTCAGACCGCCTGGATCTAAACCATAAATGGCTTTATAGGTCATGATCAACACTGCAAAAGGTTTGGAAATGAACTGGCAGCCAGCAAAGGTAGAATAACAGAGGATACACAGTCATGAAAACCAACCCCAGCCCACAGTTTGGCTGCAGCTTTTTGCACCAGTTAAAGTTTCCAAACTGTCTTCAGAGGCAGCTTTATGCAATCCAAGTGGAAGTTAACCAAGGCAGATGTCACTGTAGATCAAGTCAGGTTTCTCAAGGAATGGCTATAGCTGGCACAAATGCAAAGGATGAAAAAATAAAAGGCAAAAAAAAAGAGGTAAACATGAAAGAACACACACAAAAAATCATCTACCCATCTTCTGTTAATACAGATCACTCATGTTTTAGAGGGAGTCAATGAGAGAACACAAAAACAAAAGGCAAAAAAGAGCCTCTTTTGTGTTTTTCCCCAAGACACCACTGTTGCCAGTCTGTTGTAGGGGTGATATTATTTGAGATGTTTCTTAGTAGTAATTGAGCAAGTAGCTGTCTGGCTCTCAGTTTATTTCCAGGCCAAATTCATAGTGCTGGTCATGAAGGCCTATATGGTTTAGGAGCCAGCATATCTAAAAGCCAGTTTTGTTTTTATGCACTGTTAAGTCAAAGCTCACTTTTTAAAGCAACCTTTCAAGGTAATTGAGATATTCAAGGAGTGCTTTTACCAGTTCCCTACCCCCAACAAGCTTCCATAGCTTAGGGGATATTTAAACTTAAGCCTCCACTATACCGGGGGTTCTCAAACTGGGGGTTCCCAGATGTTCTTGGACTGCAGTTCCCAGAAGCCTTCACCACTTGCTGTGCTGGCCGGGATTTCTGGGAGTTGCAGTCCAAGAATATCTGGGTATCCAAGTTTGAGAACCGCTGCTCTATACCACACTGTGCTATAGTGTGCCAGTGTGCTCATGTAATTCTGTTGTTTGCTCCATCATCTCACAATTGTGAACGGCTGCTAGTCATTATATCTATACATTCCAGTATCAGAAGCAGAATGTCTGTGAACACCAGTTGCTGGGATAGTGTTGCTACACCCATGTCCTGCTCATGATTTTCCCAGAGGCATTGTTTGGCCACTCTAGAGACAGAACAATGGATGAGATAGGCCTTTGCTCTGACCTAACATGGTTCTTCTGCTGTCTGAGATTAAGCAGATGGGCCCACAGGACATTCTTGGCCATGTAAGCATTAGGAAGTCAAATCTGCTTTGACAAACACATGTGGATAAAAAGAGGATTGAGTAAAAAAGAGGACGGAGATAAAAAGCTATCAAGTATTGGTCACATTAAGATTTGTGTTTTTCATTTTTCCATTGTGTTTCTTTTCCTGAACTTTCTAAAACATAGATGAGAAACTAGGGGCCTTTCAGATCATTCTGCATTCTAGTTCCCATAACCCTACCTGGCCAGTGATTATGATGGGAACTGCTGTGCAACAATATCTGAGAGGCCACAGTTTCTACATGCATGGGAGAGAAGTGCTATGCAACTCTGAAAAATCACAGTTCTTCATCATAAGTTCATAGTGTATGTTCACACTAATATGTATGTCATGTTGAGCCTCGTGGTGCAGTGGTTAAAATTGTGCAACTGTGAAAAATCACAGTTCTTCATCGTAAGTTCATAGTGTATGTTCACACTAATACAGTATGTATGTCATGTTGATGTAGTAGATCATTTTGCAAATAAGGGAGGTTGTGTGAATAATTTGTACGTGTGTGTGCATGCACATGCAACAACACTGTGAAACGTCCATAAAGAAACCAACTTAAACAAATTTCTTCGGTAGATAGACTAGAATTTACGATTGCCAAAGAAAAACGATTTCTGCTCAACTTGAAATAAGATAAGATAAGATAAGAAATTTATTTGTCATTGCACTCACAAGTGGGTGCAACGAAATGAGGTGCTCTTCCCCAAGGTAAAACTGGACAACACCACTACAAAAAAAAGTTACAAATATACACAACACTCACCATACAAATATAGATACCCCGTTTCTCCCAGCAATTAAAATTCCACCAAAAACTTATGACCCCACATTTAAACTCAATACTGCACTTGGCTAACGAAATTAAACTATTTCTATTAAGGTTTTCTGCTTATTTTTTAATTTTGAATATTAAAGTGGAATTTTGTTGAAAGGGGATGGTTGTTATGTGACATCAAGTCACATCTAAGTTATGGCAACCCTCAACAGGGTTTTCAATTTATGTGAGATATTTAAGAAATGGGTTTACCAGTGCCACCTCCTAGTAAGTTTTCATGACTGAGTTTTGAATCTGGGATTTGAATCCAAATCTCCTAACTCATAGCACAACACTCTGCAACACCACACACTGGATCTCAATAAGGGGTATAGATGTAGAGCTGTGAGTGTGAACTCAAAAAGAGGACATGATGTTGAAAATTTTGGGAACCAGTGTTCCAGAGCATTACTGGTAGGTGTGTAGTTGACACATACATTTTGAATGGACTCAAATTTCAATATGCACTCCTCTGTTACAGATAATGCATGTAACAATAGTTGTCACAGTATGATATAATATGGTCTTTAGTAGCAGTATGAGGCAATGCAAGCTTGCTCCTATAGTTGTGTTGTGTATCATAATTAGCCCAAAAGCAAGAAGGAAGGTAAACAGGAAAGAATGTTCAATCTTATAGTAACTCAGTTCTTAAATATTCTAGAGGCCTAATCTGAGACACATATTTAAGTTGTTCCTCATAAATTGGATTTGGGAACCCCAGTAAGAATGCCACCGGAGATTTCTCTTAGTGTCAACTGGGCTCCCTGTCCTTCTTGATCTTTGTTAAGCTTCCATTAGCCCCGAAGGTCAGGGTGCTACACAGCAAAGTGCTGAACTCTGGTTTCAGATTTAGCT